TACCTACGGGGGTGTGATAATAATGTCGCCCGAGTGATGCAGTGCGCTCCAAGGAGACACCCATCTACAAAGGGCGTGAAGGGGTGTAAAACAGGTGTGATAGCTAGGGTGGCTCACACCACTCCANCCGGCCTGCCGGGGGTGTGATAATGTCGCCCGTGTGGTTGCAGTGCGCTCACAGGACCCTACCTACGGGGGTGTGATAATAATGTCGCCCGAGTGATGCAGTGCGCTCCAAGGAGACACCCATCTACAAAGGGCGTGAAGGGGTGTAAAACAGGTGTGATAGCTAGGGTGGCTCACACCACTCCATCACGTACATGCTTTTCCCACGTGCATTTTCGCAGTACCCTTTGGAAATTCTTCGCATACGTACACAACGAAGACGTAGCACCGATGCCTCAAAGCGGTTGTTCCGGTGTTGTGTGCGACCAAACGACAGCACACAGGTACCTGGACGACGCAACCACTCGCAAGACTTGCGTTCACCACTCAAGCTGGAACCACATAGGACGCAAGCAAGTGCCAGCTACATATCAACCAAAGCTAGAAACCAAGAGGACAAGCGACTAGTCTACCGAAATATATGAAACACAGGACAAATTGGCTCTAATAGCAGCTTTGGTTGACTTGACCATGGCATGCAACCACGGTAGGTAGATACCAGACAAGACACCCAGTCTATGCAAACAATGTCCGCCCCCGGCAAGTCTGCCATGGCCTCGACCTCCGAGTCATCGTTGCCTTCGCCATCTTCCAAGCTGTCATCGTCGTCGATTTCCAACACTTCCAACAAGTCGGCCATCGTCTCCCCCTCCTCCGATGGGTCAGCCTCCTCTACGCCGGCAGCGGCCGCGTCGCCGTCTGCACGAAGTGGTTTCCCTTGGGCGTCGGAGTTGAGCTCCTTGTTGGCCCACGCCTCGTCCTCAGATCCATCGAAGGCAAGGGTCATGCCAGCCTTCCTCCAGCTCGAACGAATGCTCTCAGGGTCCACTTCATCCCACGCTTTCTTCACCCACTGCGCGAGCAATCCCCTCGATGGGGGATCCGGGTAGCCGCGGTCGTTGCGCACGGCGTCGGTGGAGGCCATGGGGTTGTCGTACAGCCTGGACATGTTGGAATTGAACAGCTTGTTGATAAGTCCATCGCAAGGCTGGATCTTGGGCGTTAGGCCTCCGGGGACGAAAAACAGCGTCGTGTTGGACTTATCCATCGCTTCCTTGCACAGGGCTGTCTTGTGCACGGTGTAATCGGCCCACGATAGCAGCGTGTCCGGCTGACGGTAGTTGCCCAGGACCCCATCGCGACCCGGGCGCCGGTTCCACACTTGGGGGAGCCAAACATCCCTGAAGACGCGCTGCGTGTGCCACGCATTGTCGTCCACGGCGTACACAACGCTCTGAGGGTATGCTATCCCCTTCTTGTCGTTGCCCACCTTGAACTCTCGTTCGATGCTGTTGGCAGTGGGGGTTTTACCCGGCGCCGTAGGCTTACCCTTAAAGATGAGCGGCGGCGGGAGTTTGCCGCCCTTCATGTTTGCGGCAAGCACGGCAGTGATCCGCAACTTTTCCTTTCCACCGGTTTTGATGGCCACCTCTTTCTGACCGGTGTGCTGCGAACGACAAAAATAAAAAGCAAAAAGCAATAGAGAAAGCAGAGGCGACGAAAAAAGTCGATTTTGTGGATGAGAATGACAGCTGTTCACGCACAAAGTGACGTATAGGTTTTGCAGTACAGTGATGATGGAAGCGAGTGGTAAGCACAATACCAACGTCGTCTGGCCTTACTGGCTGGACACTGGAGTAGGTATGCGGCAAGAAATATGGCATAACAATGCCCACTGTTTGTACGGAATGCGAAGAAACGATCAGACAGGCACATGATTCAAAGCAACACTATTTGAACTCACCGCCACGGTCGACGTGCCAGCGGGCTCCATCCACACAGCAGTTTCATCCATGCTGTAGCTCTGCTCCTCCTTGAACAACAGAGGTGGCTTCGAAGGCGCACTGCTCGTTGCACCGTCGATTCCTCCGTGACGAAGCGCCCTCCATTCCTTGACGGCTTTCATGGTAATCGCAGGCCACCCGGAAGGGAGTTTCTGGCCTTGCCTGGTAACCGCCCGTAATGACACCCGGTTCTTCCCAAGGAACCTCCTGCACCAGTGAATCTGCTTGCTGCGGTACTTTCTACTGCCCTCCAGGTCGTTCGTTGCAGGCCTCGGGCCGAACCAAAGCTCCCCGGGCTTTGCATGGTCGCGTACTTAATGGCGTTTACTTTGAATTCCAAATCGTACCGCTTGCGTTTCGGGCCACCACCAAACTTAATGGGGAAGTTTGGTGGCTCCAATTCCAACGGCTCTCTTTTCCTCTTGCCCTTGCCCTTGCCCTCGGCCGGCGTGCCGTCGAGATGCCCACCGAAACCATCTGTCCACTCCTCTGACTCTCCAGGAAACATGGTGTCGCCGACGGGCGCCGCTGCGGCTGCTGTCGTCAGTGCTTCAGGCAGGTGCACGTTCCTGAAAAGCGCATGAGTTCGAGGAAGCAACAAAGCATATAGCATACGTGTCATTAAGTGCAGTGTCTGTAACAATGCGCTCGCTCCAACGACCATCAGACAAACGCACCAAAAATATAAACATTTCGCCTGCACACCATGATATTTTTGAACTACATGAAACAATAATGTGAACATGCCGAAATACAGTGAGGCGAGCGCGACGACACGACGTTAAAATCACATGCTTTTTTCGATCTGGTGATCGATCAGGCAATCAGGCGTGGCATGTTCTTTGGTTTGCTTGAGCCATGAGAATCCTCACAAACACCCATGTGCTGCAAACTGCAAGACGCTCTGCGCACACCTTATTTTGATGTAGACGTCGCCAGATTTCGCATGCCTGCCGCAAAACTCCGGCATATCCTTCCCTGGCTCAGCCCACAAGGGCTTGTTGGTGCACGATGGTTCTCCGCAGCGCGGTGCTGCTGCAGGGTTCTCAGCAGGCTGTCTTTTCGGGTGTGGGTGTGGGTGCTGCGGGATTCTCAGCAGTGGGTTCTGCTTCGCGGGTTTCAGCGGCACCCGCGGTGGCAGGCGTAGCCGGTGCTGTGGGAGTCTCAGTAGCAGTAGATTATGTTGAGCGGGCCTCAGCAGTACGTGCGGTGTCATGTGCGGCTTCTAAGGGAGTCGTCCGAGCAGCCCCACGTTCTCCCGGGGGGGGTTGGCAGAAAGACGCTATGGAGCGTGGGGCCGCCGCTGGAGTCTTGCCCACTGCAGTCTGAGCCGCGGGGGCTTTCAGCCGGGTTGTTAACTGCACCACCCTCCACGACACTGTCCGCCTCCATGGCTCTTGCGAGCAGATGGTGTGGTTGTGATCTCTTTCCTCACGTTGCCACACCGTGTGATACGCGGGGGCTCCGTCGATTTAATGCGGCCCGACTTCAGGGGGTGTGGTATCTTGTGTCACCGTGTGATAAAATGACGTTTTTGGGGGGGCTGAAAAAAATACCACACGGGTGTGGTATTGTGTGCGTTTTCTGAGTGGGTGTGGTATCTAATGAAAGTGTGATATCTTATGCAACCTACGGTAGTTTTTGGTTTCGAGAGCAAAGCACTTTTATTGCCAACGTTCGTTGTTTGCCTTGGGTGAAGTCTCGCGAGGTTGAATTCNAGCGTGGGGCCGCCGCTGGAGTCTTGCCCACTGCAGTCTGAGCCGCGGGGGCTTTCAGCCGGGTTGTTAACTGCACCACCCTCCACGACACTGTCCGCCTCCATGGCTCTTGCGAGCAGATGGTGTGGTTGTGATCTCTTTCCTCACGTTGCCACACCGTGTGATACGCGGGGGCTCCGTCGATTTAATGCGGCCCGACTTCAGGGGGTGTGGTATCTTGTGTCACCGTGTGATAAAATGACGTTTTTGGGGGGGCTGAAAAAAATACCACACGGGTGTGGTATTGTGTGCGTTTTCTGAGTGGGTGTGGTATCTAATGAAAGTGTGATATCTTATGCAACCTACGGTAGTTTTTGGTTTCGAGAGCAAAGCACTTTTATTGCCAACGTTCGTTGTTTGCCTTGGGTGAAGTCTCGCGAGGTTGAATTCGGCGTTTGTGTTGTGTTGTGCCTCGTTTCGACCTTTTGGGAGGCGCGGTGTCCGCTTTGTCGCTGTGCTTTCCCGACATTTTTGGTCTGTGTTTCTGCGTAACCTACATTTTCCTAGTGTCGTTTTACAACCTTCGATATTTCTCAGGTGCGGTAGCGAGATCTTGGGCAAGATATTCACGTGGAGGACAACGCCTAAAAAATACATTAAAGCAAATAATTAAGCCCACATCAACACCAGCGCACTACTGAGCGGTCGCCCCGGTGGTCTAGTGGTATCCTCGTAATCCATCCGCCTGTCGCAGAGGTCACGAGTTCGAATCCCCATGGGGTGAAAAAATTACGAAATTTGCGGGTGAAAGCGAAATATAGCTTAAAAGCTCTCGTGAGTACCAAAACTTCGACGTTAGCACCGTTGACGAGGGAAAGGGACGGCTGGACCCTTCTCGCGATAAAAATAAAATTCAGCACGCACCGCAGGAGGCAGGTGGGGCATGAAAAGAAATAAAAAGAAAACAAAAAGCCTGGTGTTTACCCCCTCCTGTGTGACCCTGGATGGTTGTAGTTGTACGAAGAAATACATTAAAAGTGTAGTGANTCAGCACGCACCGCAGGAGGCAGGTGGGGCATGAAAAGAAATAAAAAGAAAACAAAAAGCCTGGTGTTTACCCCCTCCTGTGTGACCCTGGATGGTTGTAGTTGTACGAAGAAATACATTAAAAGTGTAGTGATCTACATACGCTGAAAAGTGTAGTACACGTCTCACCACGAAAGATGGGGGGACTGTCGCCATAATAAATAGGACGAAAACACACACACACACACCACACTGCCGTCGTGTACATGTACGATGCATAAATCGTAGAACACCATCGCTTTCAGCGTTTTGGTGGTACTGTACGGGGAAATTCAAACGATGATATGCAAGTATGTATTGCACCACAATAGCAGCAGTGGTTGCGACCTTCAAATCACCTTGTGTCGTAGGTTTCAAACAACACCTCTTGTGGTCGCCTTTCTGCTGCGAATGCGCACCTTTTGACATATGTTTCGCCTTCATTGGCCCCGGGGATGGTGCCTTAGTGGCCCCGGAATTTTTAAGACACTTCCCCGCGTTAAAGACACTTTTTGGGGGGGGGGAAACGTGGTGTGTCTTTAAAGCGGGGTCGACTGTAATGCCAGTTGGAGCTAAGAACAAAAGCATCTGTTTAAAGGCGGATGCATTCTGAATCTTATGCATATGTGGAATGTGGCCTTCACAGGGAACATGGCGCAGTGTCGTCTGACAACTTTGTTGATGACAGGAGTACAAGTGCTGTAACCATTGTTGTTGCACATACACAAGGAGGACCAAGATACGATCCGAACGGAGCATCTTACTGATGGTTGATCAGCAAGAGACCCGACTATGGATGTGTCCCTCTTGGCGCCGCCTGTGGAGCTTGGGAATCCGAGACCCTCGGGCTTGGTCTCCCTCGCCCCTTCGGCGGGGCACTCTCTCTTTCGTCTCTCTCTTCTGAGACCCTCTCCTCTCTCAATCTCAACGAAGAGAACTGCCAGCACTTAGTAGTGGGTAAAAACTACTGCGACCTGGGCCTGCCCCCAACGAGGGAAGCCTGTGTCCTTAACTTGCTGTTTTTAGAAAGTACTTCGCTGCTGTTTTTTGGCGACTTGAATATAGACTACAGTATGTACAGCTGTAGACTGTTGTACATGTACACACGCACCACAATTTTTTTTTCGAAATGTTTTTAATTTCAACAGTCGGAGATGTGCAGAAGATTTGAGTGTGGCTGTTTCCCGCTCATTGTACAAGGGACACTAGGCACTGTGTCCCCCTTTGTGAATGGTTACGAGGGCAGTTTGTTGCCTTGGTATCCATCGTTTTTCACCTGGTGGTGGGTGATCAAAAATGTTTTGATGTTTTTTAGGTTTTATTTTGCACGTTATATATATCCCTTCCTTCCGGCTTCCGGAGAGAATTCTAACAAAACCATTGAGTTCCATTCAACCATCCTCATGTCTCTAATAGTACGTTCAAATCAATCCTCACATCCTGATTGATACCACAGTGGCTACCTGCGTTGATACCAACATCGTTGGTTATCTGTACTTCCATCGACAAAACACGTCCTATCGTGTTGCTCCTACCTCTACTCTTATTCTTACCGGTAAACTTCATGAATCACCCCCCATGACGAATGCGGTACCAAATGTTGTGCTCAACACCATACCAAAACTGTACTCTGACATCTGAACTAAAGGAATTCGGAATGTATACAGGTGTTTTCCTAAAGAAAGCTTGACGAAAATTGTGTAACTTAGTAATTAAAAAATCCTCCTTATGATGATGTATCAACATGTCCCTCATCAGCTTTGCTGCAGCTAGCTGAAAATATTCAACNACACCATACCAAAACTGTACTCTGACATCTGAACTAAAGGAATTCGGAATGTATACAGGTGTTTTCCTAAAGAAAGCTTGACGAAAATTGTGTAACTTAGTAATTAAAAAATCCTCCTTATGATGATGTATCAACATGTCCCTCATCAGCTTTGCTGCAGCTAGCTGAAAATATTCAACGCGGGTGCAACGGACGGCAAATCTGCATAACTGACTATGCAATACGGCATACTTTGAGCGGTGACTTATTGTAGTCTCAATGTGGGAAAACCTACGATACGACTTCAAAGAGCTCATAGTATTTCGTTCATCATACATGCGTGCCTGAGAATCTGTCATGACTTGGACTATTTCCATGTCTAAAAAGTGCGCGCTGTCCTACTTGTTCTTGGTTCAACTCAATACTGGTAGGAATGAAATGTCCATCTTCATCACTAATCAGTTTGTCGTACATTCCTCCTAACGTGTCGCTCATGCCCAGGTCTGCCGGATCATATAGAGTACTACCGCTATTTATGATATCCCCAAATCTTAAACCATTGGCTTGTGAAGCCAGAGCGACAGTGATGATGTCATCAATGTATCGCTTCGTTCTTACGCCGCATTATTCGATGAACACTCGAGGGTACATAGACTCACGACGACTGTCACCACAAGATTGCGCAGCAGCTTCGAACTCTGTGAGCATCTCTTTGTAAAACCTTAGCTCGTGCATGTAAGCAAATACATTAGCAAAATCAGGTGCAGGTGAGGATCCCATAAATATACCACAAGATTGGCGGTACATATTAGGTCCAAACTGAACGTACTCCTTGGGATCTGGAAAAATTATTTAGAGGCAGGTAGATGTTCATCTTCCAGAAATTTTAATTGCCGTGTGGTGATGGCTTCCTTCATTTCTTCAAATGTGCCCCCAGTCATTTTTTCGTATCCCTCCCCATTAACTTCCGTTTCCGCTAGTCTAATATAACAAGCCTTACACATAACACAAATACAACTTGCAGCCTTATCCACTCTAGTAAACACTACTTGTTTCTGAAGTACTTTGAACGCTTTCTGAGCCTCTCGGAAGTCGATATGGCCCGTGTGCGGCAGATAGTCCGGGCCTTCTACGGCGGAGTCTAGTTGCTCAGCAATTCTATCCAAAACTGTCCAAAATCATTCCTGAGTTTCTGGATATTTCGTCCCTACTTCGTGGCACAACTCAGTCACTAGACAAGCTCTGAAAGTGCATATTCTGTGTTATCGAAAAGTGTCAGATTGACTTCCTCCCCGTCCTCCGCAAACAGCTGTGGGGCATACTCAAATCGAAAACCAGCTGCAAGTTCAAAACTGCTGTCGCATTCTCATTTTGCAAGCAAGTCATATCCGTGGTGACGACTACGCGAGATCCATCCTTCATTTTAACCGCATACTTCGTCCAATGAACATCAGTACAAATGCAAGAGCTTGTGCGTGCAATCTCCCTTCCTACTCGAGTTTCGTTTCTAGTACATTTGTTAGTACATTTGTTATCCCGTGGGGTGTAGACAGTGGCGGGCGCTCTCAGCCAGCAAGCTACATGCTGTATGCATACAAATGCTGATGCTTTCGAGTACTTGCTATCCGTATTTATGCATACCTTCTCCGATCTTCATACTCGTCCTCCTCTTCTCTCTCATGCTGACCAAAGGGCTCCACTGCTCCCCCGGCGTCAGAAGTTACGTGTAGCTTGATCTCTCCATCCGTACTGTCAGAAGGGACTGACCGCCGCCTGCCATCAAAGTTTGGCATGCGTTGTGTCATGGCTACAGTCTCTCCACCCAGCACCACGAGAAAGCAGATGAAGCGTTTGCGCGTTACACCCCCAGGGACAGCGCATTAATATGTCGGTTCCTGTTCGCTGCATGCAAGAGCGAGATGTACCGTATATGACACAAGATAACACACCCCCTTGACCAATTTTCGAAGCTCGATTTCTCGACTGCAGGAACAGTCACAGCGCCGATAACGGCGGCGTTGAAACCGTCTCGTAGAGAGCTTTTCGAAAATGTATCGTCTCGTTTATGCATCCTCTTCGTCGTGGAGTAATCGAGCTTTGAAAATCGGTCCAAGGGGTGTGTTATCTTGTGTCATATACGGTATAACAGTAGTCCATTGAGAGGAAGGGGCCTTTCGCCCTTCGTGCTTGCGCCTTTGATCCAAGCATGTGATGCCAAATTTTATGGCCAAGAACCGGCCCTCCTTTTTTTAAGCTAAAAAGAAGTCTAGGCATCGCGTAGATACATGTATTGTATCCAAATCTCCAAATCTCCAAAGGTTTTGCCGACCTTACGAGTCGTCGAATGCGATGGTTGGTACATAGGATCCGTTCATACGTACCATATGCCGTGTGCGTACCAGGCAAGCATCGGTTTTGAACCTACACGCCGACACCATCTCGCTGTGTACTGCTGTGTACTGCTGTACTGCCGTGAAACCCACAATCTCGGTTGGTGTTTTTTTCCGTTCGTCGTGTATGCCGAACAGCTGCCGGGATACTGATACTGCTGCTTCAGAGTATGTAATGTGAGGGGTCTCATGCAAGCTGTGTTGCCCCGCCGTTCTGTGCCCTCGGTGCTACGTGCTACGAAAGGAGGGCGAAACAAGAACTAAAAGAAGAAAAAGATACGTAGGGCTCTTTGTAGGCTGAACCCAGGAAGAGACGCGTGTTTCGCGTACATGGGCGATGCATTGATACGCCGCACAATCACCGGCGGCAATGCCGGAACGTTTGCGGACCGATGGGTGGCGTCTGTCTGTGTGTGTGTGTGTGTGATAGCATGTGCTGTGGTGTTTGTTTGGCAAGCTGAGAAGAGAAGGAAAAGAGGCAAGGGCAGTTCATGCAGGAGGACTCGCTTTGTAACGGAGGATATTTTTTTTCTTGCTGGTCCTTTTGGCCGGGGGCGACTCCCTGGGCTCCAAAGCATACGTTTTCCAGGAGGATAGCCGAGCTTCCACCTCTGAGCACACTCTGGGCTGGCCGCCCCGTGCTCACGCGGTAGATGTGTTTTGCAGGCGGGAAGTGGGATACTTCATCGAAGCTCTCGAGCCTTTCGGTAGCCGTCCTCTGACCCTTTTCGGTAGCAGATTCGCTTCATTCTATATATGAATTGCGAACAACATTCGTGAGTGGAGACACCGGGTAAAGAGTTAAGAATAATCACCCACCCGTGCGTCAGGAGGGAGGCGGTACTCGATAGATATTATAGCATATGCATACATGCATCGAGAATTTGGTACAGATTACACATAGCTTGCACATATCCCATCGGCGCTACAGCAGTACCTTGGTAGTGCTTTTGCCAGTCGGCACCGCAGCACTTGCAATAGAGGTAGGCGTACCGCATTAAAGGCCCGCATCATACTTGTAATCATGCTGCGAATAACGAGGCTTCCTGATGTTTCTTTGCATACATGCTCCCGTTCGCTGACAAAACATCATGCACTCTTGTGCTTTGTGTTGGACCGACTTCCGTATGCAGAAATCCGCTTGTGAATCGAAGTCGTGGTCGTCGGGATATCTACAGTTTCCCGGAGAGAGAGCCTCGAGAGAAGGCCTGGAACTTTCTTCCTTTTCTTTTTCTTTGTTTTTCCGGGCGCTACCAATAAAAAATCGCCCAGCAGCGGTATCTCTTTTGCAGGATGCAGTATAGCATGCAGTCACACCGCTGCCCCCCCACCCTTTCGTGACCCTTATGAACCGTCCGCCCTCCGAACGTTCTGCCCCCTGCCCCCCGACCTCTCCAAACCTCCTTCTGCTATCCGCTGTCCTCCCTTAAGGTCTCGCCGTGCCGCCCACCGGAAGCGCAATCAATCCACCGGGCAGCAGCCAACCTCAGCGCAATCAATTCCAAGCTATGTACGGCGGCAGCGGCGGCGGCGGCCGCGGCGGCGGCGGGGTTGGCGGGTTGCTGGGGTTCAATTTCGCCGCGCACCTCACCTCAAGGATGGGCTGGGGGCTGCCAGCGGTAGCAGCAGCAGGAGGAGCAGGAGGAGGAGGAGGAGGAGGGCCGATGCAAGAGCAGCCGCCGCTGCCGCAGCAGCAGCAGCAGCATCAACAACAAGGGTACCCACAACCGTTCTTGGGGGTGGGCATGGGGACAGGGGTGTCGCCACATCAACCAACGCAACCACAGGTGGTGACAACTTTGGGTAGGTATATCGACTTTTCCATCTGTCGATGTGTCGATATCGGCAACTTGTTTCCCTCGCCCTCCGGCTCGTGCGTGTCTTGCGGACACGAGAACAACGGCAGAACTACGCACACCTGGACATAACGGTGTATGTGGTGTAGCGTCAACAGCATTTTATTCCAGTCTCTTTTTATTGCTTCATGTGGGTGGCATGAATTTGGTGCGCACGTGCGGAGAGAGAGCCTCGAAGGTGCCACAAGTATGTATCGCGTCGGGTGTGTGTCGCTGGCACATGTCATCGCCACGGCACACCTACGACGCCTCCGGTACTTCTTAGTCGCGCGGTGGCTCTCCCGGCCGATAACATGATAGAGAACCGAACCGAAATCCCCCGTGAATGTCAAAACAATCAACTCAGCAACACGTACATAATACAACAACCATGATAAATCGCAGGCGCTTTTCTCGCCAGCTACGATGGCGGCGGCAACGGGGCTAGGGATACCCCAGAACCAAATACACGGCGCAGCGCCGACCGGAGCCGGGGGAGTTGGCGGCGGCGGTGCAAATAGCGGAGGCGTCTATACGCCAGGGTTGGTACCAGGGGGGATGGGGTTCATGCCGGCCACAGCAGCAGCAGTGGCGGCGGCGGCGGCGGCGGTTTCCCCTGACCCGGTCTCCGACACGTTGTTACCACTAGCACCGTCGTCAGCGGTGACGGGCGGGGCGGGGGGAATGGTGGCGCCTGGTGTGGGGCGGGAGGCCGGGGACGGAGGGGCAGCGGGGATGACGAGAGGCCTGGCGGCGGCGGCTGCTGCCGAAGGCAAGCAGCAATGGAGGGAGGGGGGTACGGTCGCCGCGATGAAGTCGAAGGAGCAAGCGGTGCGGCGAAGGTGAGTGGGGTTTTGTATTGTAGCGGCTTCTTCTTTCCTTGTCGGGGGGAAAGGCGGGGAGTTTGCTATGCCTTTGGTGTTAGGCCATTGACAACGCGGGTTCTCGAGGGAGGTATGGAGCATTGTTCAGCCCACCTATCCTGTCGATATCACTTCCCGCCTGCTCAAACCCACCTCCTATGCCCCAGTACAGCTACCGTCTTCGCCTGGCTATTCTATGCCTAAAGGGGGGTTGTAGGGAAAACGTTCAAGACGGGGGCCGTGTCTATCACCAACGGTGCTCGCTCGCACGCATGAATGTTGGGGAGGACATGTTTTGGACTGGAAAAACCCGCGCCTTTTCTTTCCGAGTATCCGCGTTATTCATTGATGGAATCTTTGTTCTTGAAAGTGTGCTGTCGAGCTGTGCCGGCAGTGCATACACCTCGGAGCATACTTGCAAGGCCGGGGGGCCAGAGGTTGATTCATTGGACAGCCAATATCTGGGGATGACCATCTATCTTCTCCTCTACCGCGTGGGCCGATGTCGTTGCAACCGTTACGCTGACGGCACGTCTTGGGGGGGGGTGATTTCTGTTCCTGTGGACGTCGCATCCGTCCTGGGTCGACTCCTGTTTCGCGGCTGACGAACCAGACTGCAAACATATGGCGAGCCTGATCCCGCGCGTGTTGGTGGTCGGCTCGGCTGTCAGCACAACCGACCGGCCTTGCCGCGCCCTCGCCGCCGACAACGGGTTGGCTGGCACCAACGAGACGGGCGGTTGGCTGTGTGTGTAGCCGTTGAGCGGCTGGCGTTTTATGTAATCGTTGTGCAAACCCCCACGCCGAACCATCTCCGTCGCCTCTGTCTTCGTGTGTCAACCTCTCTCTGCTTTTTATTATTAACACCGACGATGACGATGACGATGACGATGACGATGACGATGACGATGATGATGATGGCACCAACGGCACAAAAACGAACGGATGGGCGGGGCTGAAACTCAACCTCAACCCGGCAGAGAACGGAATCGCGTCCTCGCGAGAGAAACTCGTTTGAGGAAGAAGTTTTTCTACGAGGTGACGGATCCAACGAATGCACTCACGTTTCACGCGTCACGGGTGTATGAAGAGATGTGCGCACATTGCTTCTTCGTGGGTGTCACCCCCAAGTCGAAGCCTGGGTGGAACTTTAGAGGCATCCCTCGTGTAGAGTGGAGGAGGCCCATAGGTTTGTTTTTCGACGCCCAAAAGGCGTGTGTTGTGTTTTCCTTTAGAAAATTCCTGGGAAGTTCCGTTGGCCGGGAAGGGCAGAGATTGGACCAGAGCCGAGAGCACCGACAAGAGAGATGAAGAAGGGGGGGAGGGGTTCCACTTGAAGCAAAGGGGTTCGCACTTCGTCGAATCGGGCGCAAATGCCAATAGAGTGGTGTTGCGGAAGGTCGGCGGGGTGGGCCCATCGATCGGCTCTGGCCCGAGTAAGCGGCAAGGTTCTTCTCGTCTCGTAGCGGGACAGCGTCTTAGGTAGCCGGGCGTTGGAAGGCCGCAAGAGAGGTTGGGCTGGCGCGTGTGCGAAAGAGAGAGAGAGACATCAGGGAAGGACAGACAGACAGAGAGAGAGAGAGAGAGAGAGAGAGAGAAAGAGAGAGAGAGAGAGAGCTTGGGAGCCGTCGATATGGCATCATTCGCTAGGCGGGAAAGTCGTATCGTGAGTATTCATACGCTTGTTGACCTTTCTTCCTAGAGTCTCGAAAGCCAAGTCAAGCCCCTGCAACAGAGACAGCGATAATAGTTCACCAAAGGAATTTGTTTGTCATACAGGTATGCAAGTTGTGCAACCCAGCAAGCCAGTCACACCACGAAAACACGCTTTTTCGATCCCCCCCCCCCGCCCTTCTTTTCCGCGCCCTCTCGCCGGCGTGCTCGTCTTACCCCCTCATCCACCACCACCGTCTTTGCCACGAATGCTGTCTCGTTTGTCCGTTTGCACCGCTGCTGCGTGTCGCCCTCTACCCTCTGCACGTGCCGCTCGTTCGATACTGCAACATGCGCACCTGCTGTGGCACCACTACATGTACCACCACTGCATGTGCCGCTGCTACCACCACTTGGGGATCGTTCTGCGTACGGACGGGGCGGGTAGTCTCTCCTACAGCGCATGGCGGCCCTGCGCAAAGACAACCGAAAATTCAAGACCATTCTCAGGGATAGGCTGGTGAGTCCATTGTTGTCGGGGGGGGGTGGTGTTGGTGCTGGGACTTTGATGAGCTTGTTGAGATGTCGAGCGACG